CAGCAGAGATGTAGCCCATGAACCAACAAGGTACAACAGAAAATACCTGGCATGTCTGCAGTACAGGTGATCAGTGTGGGAGCATCTCCTGCGCACCTCTTGCTGGTGTGATGAGCCCAGAGGATGAGCCTGTAGGCTGGCAGCTGCCCCAGTGTGGCTGTGCCATGGCTGGCTTGCACCTGCCGTTTGGCTGGAAGGGTTTGCCATTTTTTTGCTGTGTTCAGATGTTTGCAAATCCAGGCAGTCCAGCGGTACAGTCATGGCTGCCTGGGGAGTGGGTGTCGGGATGATGCTGAGCATTGCCCGAGCTGCTGTGAATGGCCTTCATGGCATTGCAGGCTGCATCCTAGAGCTGGGCTACACCCTCGCTGCCAGCTGTAGGACACAGAAGAGATGGAGTCAAGGTGTTGCCAGGTCTTCAGTGCTGCTGGTGCTGGAACAGAGTGGATGAAAGGCCCCCAAGAGCTCACATTTCCCCTCTGAATATTTCACGAGAGTCCTGCAGACGTTTGTGGCTGTTCCCACTGCCATGGCTGCCTCGCTGACCCTTTCTGTCCCCTCTCAGGACATGCTTATGCAGCTGGCGAAGGCAGTGGCCAGTGCTGCTGCTACGCTGGTGCTCAAAGCCAAGAACGTGGCCCAGAAGACAGAAGACGCAGCGCTGCAGACACAGGTGATCGCTGCGGCCACCCAGTGCGCCCTCTCCACCTCCCAGCTCGTGGCCTGCACCAAGGTAAGCAGCAAGGTTAACCCTTGCCTCAGCATGCCTGCAAGCTTCTCCTGGCAGGGGGGGCAGCTTCATAGTGGGCTCCTAGATGTGCCAGAACCACATGTCTTAAGGCAGGACGTCGGGAGTCTGGCACAGGGAGTGTGGGCTGCCTCTGACTGGGTCCCTGCCACTGTGCCCAAGCAAGGAGTATCCTCTTTGGAGGAGCAGAAGTTTAAGATAGCTGTCTCTGCACAGCCCCTACAAGGAGCCTACCACGCTTGCTGCCCAACCTTTCTCCTCCCTTCTAGGTTGTGGCTCCCACAATCAGTTCCCCAGTCTGCCAGGAGCAACTGATCGAGGCTGGCAAGTTGGTGGCCAAGTCGGCTGAGGGCTGCGTTGAGGCCTCCAAGGCGGCCACCAGTGATGACCAGCTCCTGAAGCAGGTGGGGGTGGCAGCCACAGCTGTCACCCAGGCCCTCAATGACCTGCTGCAGCACATCAAGCAGCACGCCTTGGGCGGGCAGCCCATTGGGCGCTACGACCAGGCCACTGACACCATCCTCAATGTCACCGAGAACATATTCAGCTCCATGGGCGATGCAGGTGAGAGCAGCTGATGACAGCCACAGTCGACCACGGTGAATAGTGAAGTACCGGGGAGCCCTTGGGGCTTGCTAATGGGCCACACTTCCATTCTGTTCCAGGGGAGATGGTGCGTCAGGCTCGTATTCTGGCCCAGGCCACCTCCGACCTTGTCAATGCCATCAAAGCCGATGCTGAGGGAGAGACTGACCTGGAGAATTCACGCAAGCTTCTGAGTGCAGCCAAGATCCTGGCTGATGCTACTGCCAAGATGGTGGAGGCTGCAAAGGTTAGTGCATGTGGGATGGTGGATGCTGGCTTTGGCCCCCAGCCCTGTCCAACACTGTTGGCTCAGTGCTGGGGAGGGGATGAGCAGCCCCTGGGTGGGGCAGCAGTTCTCAGAGTAAGGGACCTGTGTGGTGGGATGGGCTCATCCCGGAGCTGTGGGTGGTAGCAGAGGAGCTATTCCCAGTCCTGCTACTGGGCTGTACCAGAGAGGCTTTGGGTATTTCCCCGACACCGTAAGCAGCTGGGCTACCTTGTGGGGAACTCCATGGCATCGGGCCAGAGCGGGTGCTGCTTCCAGAGGACAAGTGACTCCGTGGTCCCTGCGAGGTGTGATGGGTTTTCTGCTCTCTCCAGGGAGCTGCAGCCCACCCTGACAGTGAGGAGCAGCAGCAGCGGCTGCGCGAGGCAGCAGAGGGGCTGCGCATGGCCACCAACGCCGCAGCCCAGAACGCCATCAAGAAGAAGCTCGTACACAAGCTGGAGGTGAGGTGCTGGGCAAGGGTCTGCAGAGGGCAAACAGGCACGGTCAGTGAGCAAGGCTTGACCGGGAGCCCCCACATCCCTGCATTTTCCAGCAGTGTTGTTTTGGGGCTCTGGGCATCGAAGGTGCTGGGGATGCTCCAGTGTCACAGATACAGGCACAGGAGAAGTTATTTAGGGCGGCTGGGCCCTGGTGCATGGGGGGTGACTTGAGACAGACTGTCCTGCCACCAGTGTTAACTCGTGCCTCCCTGTGCCAGCACGCAGCCAAGCAGGCCGCTGCCTCCGCCACCCAGACCATCGCCGCCGCACAGCACGCCTCCTCCTCCAACAAGAACCCTGCTGCACAGCAGCAGCTGGTGCAGAGCTGCAAGGTAAGGGCCTGGACCTTGGCCTGGCATGTCCTGTGCTCCTTCTCCCCCATCCTATCTCCCATCAGCCATGCTGGGCTTCACATTCAGCCACAGTGGGCAGAGGACCTTGGGGTCCTCACTCAGGTCCCCCAGGAGCCAGTCTTTTGACTGCTGATCTGGGGTTGGATCCATCTCCTCCTGACCGTGGTTCTCCAGTGACTGTTTTTCCCTGGCAGGTGGTGGCAGAGCAGATCCCAATGCTGGTGCAGGGTGTGCGAGGAAGCCAGTCCCAACCGGACAGCCCCAGCGCCCAGCTGGCTCTCATTGCTGCCAGCCAGAACTTCCTGCAGGTACCCGCACTGCCCAGAGCCTCCCATGCCAGCTCTGGCATTGCAGCTTTCCTACCGTGCCTGGCTCTCCTAAGATACTGGAAGACCTTCTGTACGTGTTCAACTGACATGCTGTATGTTCATCCCCTTCTCACTGCTTTTTGTTTTGGCCTGACAGCCTGGTGGGAAGATGGTAGCTGCAGCCAAGGCCACCGTCCCCACCATCACGGACCAAGCCTCTGCGATGCAGCTCAGCCAGTGTGCCAAGAACTTGGCTGCAGCTCTGGCTGAGCTCCGCACAGCTGCCCAGAAGGTGAGAGGCTGGGTCCCATCCCACAGCAGGAGAGTGCAGCTGGTTGTGCAGAGCAGGAGAGGACAGTGGGGACAGCCTGGTGGCAGGTCATGATACCTGCTGAAGCCAGGTGGGCTCAGTGATCACCTGCTCACCTTCCCTTCTGCCCCATCACAGGCTCAGGAGGCGTGTGGACCTCTGGAGATAGACTCTGCACTGGGTCTGGTGCAGAGCCTGGAGAGGGACTTGCAGGAAGCCAAGGCAGCTGCCCGTGATGGCAAGCTCAAGCCTCTGCCAGGAGAGACGGTGAGGGCACAGGAAAGGGTGGCTCAGGGTGATGCAGGCTGGATTCTGGGTCAGGGGAGTCACCAAAAGGTGCAGCTCACCAACATGTCCCAACTCATCCCCCTGCAGATGGAGAAATGTGCCCAGGACTTGGGGAACAGCACCAAAGCCGTCAGCTCCGCCATCGCTCACCTCCTGGGAGAGGTGGCCCAGGGCAATGAGAACTACACAGGTACTCACCTCTGCAGTAGGGTTGGGAGAGGGGGCACTGAGCTGATGGGCACTGACCTCTCCATCCCCGCAGGAATCGCTGCCCGGGAAGTGGCCCAGGCCCTGCGCTCACTCAGCCAGGCTGCTCGTGGTGTGGCTGCCAACACCTCCGACCCACAGGCACAGAATGCTATGCTGGAGTGTGCCAGCGACGTCATGGATAAAGCCAACAACCTCATCGAGGAGGCGCGGAAAGCAGTGGCCAAGCCTGGTGACCCAGAGAGCCAGCAGCGCCTGGCCCAGGTAGGCAGAGTGTACCCAGGAGGGTACCCCAGTGTGCCCTGTCAGGCCATGGGAAGGGCATGAGATTGGCTGGGAGATGGTGACCACTCTTTGCTTCTCTGCAGGTGGCCAAGGCAGTGTCACAGGCTCTGAATCGCTGCGTTAACTGCCTGCCAGGGCAGCGAGACGTGGATGCTGCCATCCGCATGGTGGGAGAGGCCAGCAAGAGGCTACTCGCGGATTCGGTGAGCCAAAGGGGGGAAGTCTTGTGATGCGAGGCAGTCTAACTGCATCAGATTCCTCTAAGCGTATCCCTAAGCATGTGCCTTATTTTCATCCTCCACCTCCATTCACCTTGTTACCTCTCCTAACCCTTTACCTCCTTCCAGTTCCCTCCCAGCACCAAGAGCTTCCAGGAGGCGCAGAGCCAGCTGAACCGGGCAGCTGCAGGGCTCAACCAGTCCGCCAACGAGCTGGTGCAGGCATCACGTGGCACCCCTCAAGACCTGGCAAAGTCCTCTGGCAAATTTGGGCAGGACTTCAATGAGTTCCTGCAGGCAGGAGTGGAGATGGCCGGCCAGTCCCCGGTGAGAGTAAATGCCTGTTGGGGTGTCCTGAGGATAATGAGAGATTTGGGATGACTGAGGAGGTGGCTGACCACAGGCAGGGTGGCCAGGCAGTGGTGGTTAGGGTGGCTGTGGCCAACACAGTTGGTGGGATGGTCTGGAGCTGTGCAAAACCACAGCAGTAGGAAGAAGGTGGCTTGAGTTAGTTCAGTGAGAATTGCTGTCGGTGAACAAGTTGGATGAAAGAAACTGGCTCAGCTTGAAAATCACCAGAGAAGACCCAGGGTGGGTGTGGACTTGGGAAACGTGCTGCTGCAGATAACACTTCTTGTCTCCTTGCAGAATAAGGAAGACCAGGCACAGGTGGTGTCGAACTTGAAGAGCATCTCCATGTCCTCCAGCAAGCTGCTCTTGGCTGCAAAGGCTCTCTCTGCTGACCCTGCCGCCCCCAACCTCAAGAATCAGCTGGCAGCAGCGGCACGGTAGGAGGAACTGCTCCCTGAGAGATGCTGGCCACAGCAGTGGGTCTAGGTGTTGAGGCAGGCCTTGATCCATGGGTCTTTTTCCCGTGTCCTTGGCAGGGCCGTGACCGACAGCATTAACCAGCTGATCACCATGTGCACCCAGCAGGCCCCAGGCCAGAAGGAGTGTGACAATGCCCTGCGGGAGCTGGAGGTGAGAAGTCACATCTTAGTGAGTCAGTGGAGAGGCTGAGATGGTGGGGAGGGAGGAGCTGTGCCCCACTGCAAGGGGCAGAAGGGAGTGAAGAGGAGGTGCAAGTGAAGGATGCAGAACCTTTCTCTGGATGTGACACCCTTATCCCTGCAGACGGTGAAGGAGCTGTTGGAGAACCCCACCCAGACTGTCAATGACATGTCCTACTTCAACTGCCTTGACAGCGTCATGGAGAACTCCAAGGTGAGCCCTGATGTAGGAATGGAAGTCTGAGGAAGAAAACAGAGGATTTGGGAAGGATGTGGGTGCAAAGGGAAAGGTTGTTCCTCCTCCACTGACAAAGCACAGTGAGCTCTGATCCTGGGAGCACTGTGGTAGCAGGAGATGGGTGTCCATAACCAGTGTGTGGTGTATCCTGCAGGTGTTGGGTGAGTCCATGGCTGGCATCTCCCAGAATGCCAAGAACAGCAAACTGCCTGAATTTGGGGATTCCATCAGTGCCGCCTCCAAAGCTCTTTGCGGGCTGACAGAGGCAGCTGCCCAGGTGAGACACACTCAGTCCTGAGCATTACGCCAGGTGCACAGTTGCTGTATGCACCCCACCCCTTCCCTTCCAAGACTGTCCCCATGGGACAGTGCTGCCAGGCTCCTCTGCAGCCTGTGCCTGCTCTGAGCTCCCCTGCTCTGTGCAGGCTCTCTCTCACTGCCTCTGTCGTGCTCTTAGGCTGCCTATCTTGTGGGAGTCTCGGACCCCAACAGCCAGGCCGGACAGCAGGGCTTGGTAGACCCCACTCAGTTTGCCAGAGCAAACCAAGCCATCCAGATGGCCTGCCAGAACCTGGTGGACCCTGCCTGCACCCAGTCCCAGGTGAGTGTGGGGTGGGGCACAATTACAGGCATTTTCTTGCACAAAAAGGAGTTGTATGTCTAGTTGGGAGAGCTGCTTCCCAAGAGTTAGCCAAGATGGTGGCTAACCATCAGGCTCCCCCAGCTGCACTAGGAACCAGCTGGCAGCTTTGGTGCAATGGTGACAGTCCAGATGGAGGGCTCTGTGGGCGTGCAGGACCTTGGTGATCCTTCCTGAGTCTCACTAGTGCCCCAAATAGGGTGGGCGGGAAGAGAGATCTGTGGGGGTAGGGGGTCATGATGGATCCTGCCTTACTCTGCTTTCCCCTGCAGGTGCTGTCAGCAGCCACCATCGTAGCAAAACACACCTCAGCCCTGTGCAACACGTGCCGCCTGGCCTCCTCCCGCACCGCCAACCCCGTGGCCAAGCGCCAGTTCGTCCAGTCGGCCAAAGAGGTGGCCAACAGCACGGCTAACCTGGTGAAGACCATCAAGGTGCGATTTCCCTTCTGAGGCACTGTGGTGGGGTGGGAGTTAGGGCACGGTGGGGGTTGGATAACTGCTCTAGTCTATCCACACCAGGCCCTGGATGGCGACTTCAATGAGGAGAACCGGGAGCGGTGCCGTGCTGCCACCGCCCCTCTCATAGAGGCCGTGGATAACCTGACAGCCTTCGCCTCCAACCCGGAGTTTGCCACCGTTCCTGCCCAGATCAGCCCAGAGGTGGGATACTACAGGGAAAGGGAAGATACAGCCTGCCTGTCACAGGGGCTGCTGTAGGGTAGAGAGGGAGCTGTGCCTTCCCTGAGCCTGGGATGGAGTCCCAGTGGGGCTAGTGCACTGAGGGGGTGTGATGGGAAGGTTTCAGAAAGCCTTGGCCTTCGAGGGGCTGGTCCAGGGTAAGGGTCATGGGAGACTTCCCATGCACAGTCCCCTCCTTCACCATCCCATTGTCTCCCTGTGCAGGGGCGCAGAGCCATGGAGCCCATTGTCTCTTCAGCCAAGACCATGCTGGAGAGCTCTGCTGGCCTCATCCAGACTGCCCGTTCTCTGGCTGTCAACCCCAAGGACCCACCGCAGTGGTCAGTGCTGGCTGGACACTCACGCACCGTCTCAGACTCCATCAAGAAGCTGATCACCAACATGAGGTAAGCAGAGTCCTCAGCGAGCATTCCTGGGGATGTTTTGGCTCATCATCTCTTTGGCCACTGTTGGTGGGGGGAGGCAAGGGTTGGTTGGGATGGAAGATGCTATCCCTTCTATCCTGCCTGGAAGCTGCTCTTCCACTTCTCACAGAGGCTGATGGGAACACATGCTTGTGTGCCCAGGGTCTTATCACACTGGGTTGCCCCAAAGCCCAGGAGAGGGGTCCTGCCCCTCAGCAGCACCAGCCAAGGCTTGGGGCACAGGAATGGCGTAGCATCTGTCAGCACTTGCCTGATCCATTTGTCTCCCAGGGACAAAGCTCCAGGACAGCGGGAGTGTGACGAGGCCATTGAGGTCCTGAACAGGTGCATGCGGGAGGTGGACCAGGCCTCCCTTGCTGCCATCAGCCAGCAGCTGGCACCCCGAGAAGATATCTCCCAGGAGGTGGGTCAGGGACATGCTGTGGCAAACCTAATGGGGTGGGCGTCCTTTCCCCACCTCTCAGCTGCATTCGGACACCGTCCCTGCTGCAGCCTCACACAACACCCTCTCTTTGCACAGGCTTTGCACAACCAGATGATCACAGCTGTCCAGGAGATCAGCAACCTGATTGAGCCCGTGGCCGGTGCGGCGCGGGCCGAGGCGTCGCAGCTGGGGCACAAGGTAACCGGCGTGCGGAGGCTGACGAGGCACTTGGTGCGCGGCGAGGAGAGGTACAGGGCAGCTGGGGCTGGAAGCTGCTGTTGCTAAAGCTGCTCTTCCCTGTAGGTGTCCCAGATGGCTCAGTACTTTGAGCCTCTCATTATGGCGGCCATTGGTGCTGCCTCCAAAACGCCCAACCACCAGCAGCAGATGAACCTCCTGGACCAGACCAAAACACTGGCTGAATCCGCCTTGCAGATGCTGTACACAGCCAAGGAGGCTGGTGGGAACCCCAAGGTGAGCAGGGGCCTGTGAGGGACACATGTCAGTGGCGTGGGATCCTTTTGGGGTGCATGGTGCACGAGCATATAACAGACATGGAAGCCCCAGGGTGAGTTTGCAGCCTCCCTGTCGGGAGGGGAGCCCCTGCCTGCCTTACCTCACTCTGGCTTGTCCTTGCAGCAAGCTGCCCACACCCAGGAGGCTCTGGAAGAGGCTGTGCAGATGATGAAGGAAGCGGTGGAGGACCTGACCACCACCCTGAATGAGGCAGCCAGTGCTGCAGGTGTTGTGGGGGGCATGGTGGACTCCATTACCCAAGCCATCAACCAGGTGAGGGGAGCATGGAGAGGACCTAGCCAAGGCTGGGTGGGGGAGAGAGGAAGAGTAAGGGTCAAACCTTACAAGGTAAAGACCTTGTGAGCCAGAGCTAGAGTCAGAGTCTCCTGATGGTCTCTTGCAGCTGGACGAGGGGCCCGTGGGTGAGCCGGAGGGCACCTTTGTGGACTACCAGACCACAATGGTGAAGACAGCCAAGGCCATTGCTGTGACTGTGCAGGAGATGGTGGGTGCAACCAAGCCTATCACTGCAGAATGCACTGCCTGCCACCCAGACAGGCAACCACGCTCCTTGCCTTGTCCAACTCATGCCCTTCTTCCGTCAACAGGTCACCAAATCCACCACCAACCCAGACGAGCTGGGCATACTGGCCAATCAACTCACCAATGACTATGGGCAGCTGGCACAAGAGGCCAAGCCAGCTGCCCTCACTGCTGAAAATGAGGAGGTGCGAGCATGGGAGGGGGGGTTTGCTGGAGTGGTGTGAGGCAGAGCAGGGGCTGCTGGGGTGTGAGAACGGAGGACAGGGACACTTGAACTTCCCATCAGCGCTGGTGGCAGGCAGTATTCACACCTCCCCTGAAACATGATGTGGAAACACGGAGCAAAGCTGTGTTTCCGTTTTCCCACTCCTGAGTGGGAGGACTGGGAAAGAGGAGCCGGGTGGCTGGTGTTTCCCAGCGGGTGTTTCCCAGCAGATGCAGGGATAAGTTCCCTGCTGACTCTGTCATGCACACATTCCTCTCCAGATCGGCTCCCACATCAAGCGCCGGGTGCAGGAGCTGGGTCACGGCTGTGCCGCCCTGGTCACCAAGGCTGGAGCCCTGCAGTGCAGCCCCAGTGACGCCTACACCAAGAAGGAGCTGATAGAGAGTGCACGCAAGGTTTCCGAGAAGGTAGGTGATCCAGAGGGAGAGGTGACAGCGTGGTGAGTTGCAAGGGGTGCTGGATTGAGCCCTGTGGCCTTGGAGCCACCGTGCTATGTTCTCCCTGTGGTCCTGTTGGCTTCTGCTGGCTCTCAGCCGTGCTCATCCTGCCCACCTGATGGGGTGCAGGATGGATCCCCCTCTCTGGGCACCGTAACAGCAGCTGGTGCTTGTGATGGGTGAGGTGTCCAGGTGCTGCTGACATGCTGATGGCGGCCTGCCAGTAGAGTCTGATCTACACACTGGTGACAGCCCAGGGCTCTCCAAATCAGTGTTGGACAAAGCGTTTGCTGTATCTCCAGCCAAGCTTGCAGCTCGTGCATCATGTCCATCAGTCAATCTAAAGAGCACTCTTCTGAATAACAGATGAAAACGTGGCTTAAAAGCTCTAGTTGATAAAGCAGAGCAACAGCGCTTATAAGCAAAATCATGAATGCAAAACAAACACTTGTCTGTTGTGCCTGGCATATGCCTGCATGCTCAGGACCTCCTACAGGTCCTTCATTTCCATGATTGCTTTCCATTAGGAAGCTTGTTCTTCTGTGAGTGCTTGCCCAAGAACAGAAAATGAATTTAACAGCTAAAGAAAGAAGAAGTTGTGATGTTCTGGTGCCCATTATGCAAATCTTACTCATTTGAAAACTACCAGAGTTCAGTGTCTCCTAGACCAGCAAACATGATAGGTGCAAGGTAAAAATAAATAACTGGAAGCTGAGGAGGGATGCCCAGATGAAATATTCCAAATTCCTCTCCTTGGTATGGAGTGGCTCCATCCTGGGAGGTGTTGGAGGTGTGGTGAGGGTTCCCTGCTCCCCCAGTCACTCTACTCATACCCCACAGGTTTCTCACGTGCTGGCAGCTCTTCAGGCTGGGAACCGTGGCACACAAGCCTGCATCACAGCGGCCAGCGCTGTCTCTGGCATCATTGCTGACCTCGACACCACCATCATGTTTGCTACAGCAGGAACCCTCAACCGGGAGAACTCGGAGACCTTTGCTGACCACAGGTACCTGGGCACCTTGTTCAGCCTCTGCTCAGCCAGAGCCCCCCCCTCCCCCGTCAGGCTCTGTCATGTCGTCTCCTGTCTTTCTGAGTTATGGACGTGGCCCAAGGAGAGCTCCAAGCTCAGGTCGCACTAGCTCTGTTTCTCCTCCAGTTTGGACCTACAAAAATAGGGTCCACAGCCTCTCTGTACCCCAAGGACCACGTGTGCAGTTGTCCTCTCTAACGCACTTTTCCCCAGGGAGGGCATCTTGAAGACAGCCAAGGCGCTTGTGGAGGACACCAAGGTGTTGGTGCAGAACGCCACGGCCAGCCAGGAGAAGCTAGCCCAGGCTGCCCAGTCCTCTGTGACCACCATCACCCGCCTGGCAGAGGTGGTGAAGCTGGGTGCTGCCAGCCTGGGATCTGAAGACCCAGAAACTCAGGTGGGATGGAGTGTGTGGGCTGAGCTGTTAGCTTGCTTGGAGGTGTTGAGGGTTGCAGGTGTCATGTGGTGCTCTGGGCTGGATCCCGTTATGTTGTGGAGAGGGTGGGCTGGACTTTGGCTGGTGCTGGCTGAGCTGGACTCCCTCTATGCCCTGTGGTGCCCAAATCTCTCACTGCTGAGCTATCTGAGTGTGACTGTAGCTAAGCCATTCCCCTGGTCTTGCTCTCCCCAGGTGGTCCTGATCAATGCTGTGAAGGATGTGGCCAAGGCACTTGGGGACCTGATCGGTGCTACCAAGGCAGCTGCTGGCAAAGCTGGGGATGACCCTGCTGTCTACCAGCTGAAGAACTCTGCCAAGGTCTGTGGTGGGAGGAAGGGGATGAGGGAGTGGGGCTGGAGAAAGAGCAGGAGAATTTTCTGCCTGTCTGGTGGCAGGAGCACAACTTGGGTGCAGTCAGAACAAAAGAGAAGGAAGGGGCACATAAAAGGTGGGATACAGCATGCAGAGTGGACATTGGTGGGAAAACAAGATGAGGCAGTGTGATGGAGTAAGGGGACAGAGCCATTTTGGACCAAATCACAAGAAAGGGACAGGTGCCAGCAGCAGGCCAGAGTTTGTGTGAGGATTCATCCGGTTCTCTTTTTTTCTCCCACAGGTTATGGTGACAAATGTCACTTCCTTGCTGAAGACAGTGAAGGCTGTTGAGGATGAGGCCACAAAGGGGACACGGGCGCTGGAGGCCACGATAGAGCACATACGCCAGGAGCTGGCAGTGAGTAGCAGCCAGAACTGGCCATAAATGACAGCCAGAGCTGGCAGTGAGTAATAGCCAGAGCTGGCCACGAGTAAGAGCTGTGGTGCTGTGGTTGCCACTCTGCTCTGCCGCTGCCCTGTGCCTCACCGCCACCTCTCCCCTCGAAGGTGTTCTCCTCCCCGGTGCCTCCTGCCAAGGTCTCCACCCCAGAGGACTTCATCCGCATGACAAAAGGCATTACGATGGCCACGGCCAAAGCGGTGGCCGCTGGCAACTCCTGTCGTCAGGAGGATGTCATCGCCACGGCCAACCTGAGCCGCCGCGCCATCGCGGACATGCTGCGCGCCTGCAAGGTGGGGCGGGCAGGGGGTGTGGGTCTAGTGCTGGTTTGTGGGTGCCAGCAGGGATGGTGCTGGATGTGTCCCTGTCTCTGGGTTTCAGGAAGCAGCCTACCACCCAGAGGTGAGCGGGGACGTGCGGCAGCGGGCGCTGCGCTTTGGCAAGGAGTGTGCCGACGGCTACCTGGAGCTGCTGGAGCATGTGCTGGTGGTAAGTGTCCCCATCCTGGTTCCCAGGGTGGGCAGAGGCTGACTGTGTGTTCCCCAAATCCCCAAGGTCCTCTGGGCTCTTCACCTCCTCCCCCTGACGTCTTTGCACAGCCCCCTTCTTCACTGCCTGTGCTGGCACAGCATGTGGCTGAGCCCCTGCCATGGAAGCAGATGTCAGAGAGCTCAACAGGCTCTGAAGAAAGGTATTTGTCTAACAACAGATGGAGATTTACTGGCTGTAGACAGATGGAGGCTGAAAATTCACCAACATGATAGCAAAATCCTGTAAAAGTGCAGCTTCCAGTAAAAGTGGTGGGAGTAAAAGATTTCAGGCAGTGGGAAAATAAAGCTTGTTAAGTTCACAGGAGTGTAGGAGATGGGCATGTGTGGGAGATGGGCATGTGTGGGACACAGGCAGTGCCTGCAGTGGCAGCTATTACGACTACAAGCAGACTGCTGATCCAGTCTTCCTCTGACTGCTTCCTCCCAAGGACTTCAGCTGCAACATTAGTTTACAAGAAGCAAATTAAGACTCTAGCAGAAAAGAAAGGTAGAGAAGATCCAGTGAGATCCTTCCAGCCATTTGCATTCTTGCCAAGATCACAGAAGTGGAGTTGGGCACTGTGGGGTTGCGCATACCCAGCCCACGGAGCTGTCACATCCCTCCCTTTGTCCAAGGTCAGGACAAAGATGGAGGGTGAGTCAGCTGCATGTCAAGGTTTCACTAAGCTGGTTAGTGAGAGTCCACGTTCACCAGATGCAAGGTGGTGGAGCCTGGACTGTGGTTTCCTGCAGGGAAAGCCCCTTTAGGACAAGGATAACCAGCTCTGGCAGCAGAAGGAGGAGGTGGGCAGGAATCGATGGCTAGAAATGGAAGTTGAGCAGAGAAGTCAAAGGGTGTTTTTTTTCAAGGGAGGTAACCACTGGGGTACAGTTTCAAGGGGAGCAGTGAGTTTTCCGTCCCCTGCATCTAGATCAAATGTCTTTCTGGAAGATGCTTCAGGCACATGTGAATCATGGCAGCCAAGGCTGGAGTGCTGAGCAGAAATTCTCTGGCTGACCTGTTGTTAACAGATGATTAGGCTAATGACTTAGTGTGGCAGTGCCCAAGGTCAGTCTGCTTGCAGGAACGTGCCATTTTCCCTGTATTTTGGGTGTTGCCGTCCTGCTGCCATGCAATGTTTTGAGTATCATACATTCGTACATCCCTTTAAAAAGTTCACTGGATGTGCATCCTAGTCAGCTCATAGCCTCTGGGGTGCCTTCAGCTCCAGACAGAGACCATTTAGCAGTTTTAAACATGTTGTCAGAGCAGACAGCAGATTTAATAATCTGGCATTTAGTCTGGATATGCTTATGAGGGCAAACTGTGTCATCTGCTCGGGTACTCCGAGCCACGTGCAGCTGTGAAGACTTCGCTAGAATGGCCCCATGCAAGTCCAGGGTAAAGCCATGACTCCCCCAGCCTCTAGAGCACCCTGGTCTATGAAGGCAGGAATGGAGCTCATGGGTCCTGTTTATCAGAGGACAGCAGGTTTCTGGAAAGCCACAAGCAGGAAGGATCTAGGGGAGTGGGAGGGGAAATGGCAGATGGAGTGCTGCCTCATTCCCCAGCAGCAGCAAGTTCATTGCTGTGTCCCCAAGGCACCCAGTGTCTTCCATGGAGCATGAATAAGCATGGTTAGGGTTCAAGAATGAGGGTTATTTGGCTCGGGCTGGGAAACGTGGCTCCCGGCAGAGGAGTGGGAAAGCCTGCATATTTCACTGGGGAGGGGAAGGAATTTGAACCTCCATGGGGACTTGGTATTTGGTAACAATAGGTCTCTCCCTCCGAAAGCAGAGAGATCCAGTGGCTGAAAACTGCAGTGAAGCAACTTGGAGTGGGGAGAAATGAGGTGTAAAGGGGGTGAGGAGGAGAGCTCTGAGTGTAGGTGGCTCCTCCGGCCATGGGAGCCTCATCCGGGTGCCCCACCTTGCCCATCCCTGTAAGGCTGAAGTATGAGCTGATGATGGCAAGCACAGCTCCCCACCCAGGATCTCTGATCCTTCGTTCTCACCTCTCCTTTTGGCTGCCCTTCACCCCTCACTGAAGAGCACCCACTTTCCCCTGCCCTTCCCATGCCCCAGCCCCAAGCGCCCGCGTGTCCTGGCTGGGGCATTCACTGCTTTCTTTTCTCTCTTCTCCCTCCCTCTCTTATCAGCCGGTGAGTAAGGCAACGTTGGGGTGCCTGCTGGTCTCTAACCTCAGCATGAGCCTTGCTCACGGCTTGTCTGTGTGCCCAGCCCAGTGCTGGGGTGGCACTTGGCGTGTGTCCACAGGGAGCCCGTGTCCATGTGTTTGTGTGTGTTTACTCACACCTGCTCTAGCTGATGGGCAGCTGATGTCTGTGGGGTGCGAGTTGGGCCAGCAGTGAGCTCTGCTTGTTTGTACAGACCCCATGTGTGTGCACACATGTGCTGTGGTGTGTGCATGTGTCCCCCTGAGCGGAGTGAAGGACCCTTATGGCACTGTCTGCCAGCTTGTCCCAATGGGGCCAGCCCTCCAGGCTGGGACGTGGCTCCAGGGTATCCCCCTTTGCCCAGCTTGTGTTTGCAGACAAATCTCAAAAACGGAGGGGCGGGGGGAAGTGCTTCTGGAGCTTGAAGTGATTTGCAGGAGAGAAGTCATGGAGTGGGTAACTGCTGAATGCAGGAAGGTTTGTGCTGAGGGTCTTGTGTCTGCGAGATGTCCCAAAAACTGTGGATGCAGGAAGGCCATAGGGAAGCTCATCCCATCCTGGGGCAGCAGGACAATAGCTAGGGTCACTCAACCAAGCATCTCAGACAGTGCCTGATGTGTACAGATGTGGGAGGGGGCTGGGGGATCCCACCCTCCTTCCCTGGGGAGTGCACCCCAAACAACCCTGTGAAGTCCCCCTTTTCCAGGTGCTTACATCTGCTCCTTCCCCACAGATCCTGCAGAAGCCGACTCACGAGCTGAAGCAGCAGCTGGCAGGCTACTCCAAGCGCGTGGCTAGCTCTGTCACTGAGCTCATCCAGGCAGCCGAGGCCATGAAAGGTAAGGAAAGATCCTTCTCAAAGGGGCAGGACTGAGGTCTGGGATTAGGGTAGAAGGCTCAGCAGCTGATAGAGGAGGTAGGTGAGTCAGAAATGGGGCTGCACACAGGTGTAACCTGCCTTGATTCCTGGTGTTCCTAGGGACAGAGTGGGTTGACCCAGAAGACCCCACTGTCATCGCTGAGAACGAGCTGCTGGGGGCAGCAGCTGCCATTGAGGCTGCAGCCAAGAAGCTGGAGCAGCTGAAGCCAAGAGCCAAGCCCAAGGTAACAGTGCTGAGCCTTGTCTGACCTGCTCAGCTTGTGGTGGGCTGGGGCTCTCCTGCCTATGCTTCAGCCAGGTTTGAAGTCCCATCTGATGGCTGGTCCCTCTTCCTGTACTCCCACTGCCTCCCACATCCCCAGCTGGACCGTCCTCAGGCAGCCCATGCCCCTGCTGCACCCCACAAGCCTTAATCCAGCTTTGTATGTGCCCACTCGGCCCCCTGCAGCCATCATCCTGCTCTGCTCCGTCTGTCCCAGCACCCCTGCCTAGGACTCACACTCTGCTTTTGCCTACAGCAAGCGGATGAGAGCCTGAACTTCGAGGAACAGATCCTGGAGGCTGCCAAGTCCATTGCTGCAGCCACAAGCGCCCTGGTGAAGGCAGCCTCAGCGGCCCAGCGGGAATTAGTGGCCCAAGGAAAAGTAAGGCCATAAGAGGGGAAGAACTAAGAAAATATATGGCTGTGGTGGGTTCTCCCTCCTCCTGGGGCTGCCTGTAACCCTCATGCCCCTCATGTGACAAGAGGTGCACAGAGTGCTGAGCTTCAATCCTTTCCTTCCTTACAGGTGGGCGCCATCCCCGCCAACGCAGTGGATGATGGACAGTGGTCCCAGGGTCTCATTTCAGCTGTGAGTATCAAGGTCATGCTCAGGAGCTGAGGGGGACCTTCCTCTTGGCTCCTGCTGCAAAGGAGGAGCCCTTGTGCTTTTCCTCTGTGGGAGAAGCAGCCGTGCTTCTTGATCCCTCTCCCACCATGCTGAGACGTGGAGGTTGCTTCTTGCCATCCCATAAGGCACAACCTCCTTGGGGCCGATCAGGGCTCCTGCACCCCCTCTGACAACCTCTCTCCCCACAGGCACGCATGGTGGCTGCTGCCACCAACAACCTGTGCGAGGCTGCCAACGCGGCAGTGCAGGGCCATGCCAGCGAGGAGAAGCTCATCTCATCTGCCAAGCAGGTGGCTGCCTCCACAGCCCAGCTCCTGGTGGCCTGCAAGGTGAAGGCTGACCATGACTCAGAGGCCATGAAGCGGCTCCAGGTGAGTCCCAGGCTGTCCCTCCACCCCACCTGCCTCCTCCCAGTTGCTTGAGGATGGGAGTGGAGCGTGGGTGTTCTCCAGGGCTCATGTTCCTTCCCTATGTGCCATCAGCAGGGAGTCCATAGGCTCCAGGTTGCTTGGACTTGACTGCTGGCTGCATGCCAGATGTGTGAGTGATGCTGGGCTGCTTGGCCTGGCAGCATTCAGGGATGATTAACTGGTACAGGAATGCCTGAAGTGGGTGCCCTGCATCACTGGCATTTGAGAGGTTAATGTTTGGGTGTTATGTTTTGTAGCACCCTTAACTGTCAGGCTAAGGCTCACAGGAGGTTAATGCCCATGCACTTAGGGGTTAACGTGGGGTCTCAGCACCTCTGGGGCCAAGGGCTGGGGAGAGTCAGCAGGGCTGCCTCCAAGTCCCTGCCCCACTGCTCAGACAAGAGCCAGAGCCTGGCTGTGAGCAGCAGAGCCTGAAATGGTCATGAGCGGGTGACAAGGCAGCAAGCCATGTAAAGGAATCCCTGCCTGCAGCTCCCAGCACTCCTGGCTTCCTGTCCTGCCTGCTGGCCCAGCTTGGGGCAGGGGTTCTTTCACACCCCCAGGCCGCAGTCATACCCTGGGGCTGTGACTGATGCTGACACTCCCCACTTTGCTGTGCAGGCTGCTGGCAATGCTGTCAAGAGAGCGTCGGACAATCTGGTGAAGGCAGCGCAGAAGGCAGCTGCCTTCCAGGACCACGATGAAACGGTGGTGGTGAAGGAGAAGATGGTCGGTGGAATTGCACAGGTGAGGAGCAGAGCTGCTCCAGTAGGACAGGAGCAGATCTGGGTGCCGCCACAAGCTGTGTGTGCCTGTCTCAGGAGCGTGTCCTGCCACCCATCACCGTGGGTCATGTCTCCAGAGAGCCTCACAAAAATGCTGTGGATGCATGCCTCCCACCTGGCACCAGTCAAACAATGTGGCTTCACCTTGTCCTGGCACGAGTAGCAGTGGGTGATGGTGCACACTCCCTGGAGTGTAACACTATGGCTTCTCCTTGGTGCAGCGCTCTCACTACCCCAGTGTCTGTGACACATGTAAAAGGCAGAGCACTGAGTAAGGGGTGAGACCTGCCTGGTATTGGGTGCCACAGGTCCCAGTGCTGCCTCTGTGCAGCTGAGATCCTCTACAGGGCACAGGGGGCTGAGCCCTGAAAGCTGTGCTGTTCTGGAGTGCTCTCTGGAGTACCATGCTCCCAACTCGAGGGACAGCAACCCTCGTGCCCAAGTAGGCTGTGGCTGTGACGGAAGGGAAGCAGCAGCCAGAGATCCTTGCTCAGGGATTGGCATGGCTGGGGCAGAAGCTCCAGCCATCCCTGTGGAAGGGTAGCTGTGACCCCCGGGCTCTCTCCTGTCAGATCATTGCCGCCCAGGAGGAGATGCTGCGCAAGGAGCGGGAGCTGGAGGAGGCACGGAAGAAGCTGGCAATGATCCGGCAGCAGCAGTACAAGTTCCTGCCCTCGGAGCTGCGGGACGAGGAGCAGAACTGAGCCGCACACCCTCCCGCCCACTGCACAGACTGCTGCCCGCCCGCCTGCCCGCTCCTATTTAAGACGAACCGCCTCAAGCGAAGGGCTGCCTGGGCTAGACCAGAGCTCTGCCCGCACCCACGGCAACAGGACTAACCCAGCTGCCCCTCCAAGCCGGCGCCGCACCAGCAACTCCGCTTTGCTGCCCAGCCCACCTTCCCACGCACACCCAAGGCACAATCAGAGCGCTCGGAGGGACTCCGTTGGGGTGGGAGCCGGGGCTGCACTGGCTCAGGGCTCACCTGCCAGCCCCGGGGTTTGGGCCCACAGAGCTCTCCACTGCAAGGGGATATTTACTTGTGCCTTCCTCATTCCCATTTGTGCCCCTTTCCTCTCTCTCCTCCACGCGGGATGGGGAGCAGCAGGCGGCCAGCCCTCTCCTGTGCAATGGTGTGCAGGGAGCAGCGTGGTCTGTCGCTGAGCTCCCGCGTGGAGCTGCCTTTCACCTCCAATGCCTTATTGCTGGCTGAACCTTCCTCTTCAGTTTCCCCGGGAAGCACGGAGGCTCCCCCACGAGCATCCTCTTCAGCCCGAGCCCCTCTGGGGAGCAGCAGGGCTGGAAGCCACAGTGCCTCTGCTCAGGATGGGGGGTGATGAGTTTACCCCCAGAGCTGTTCTCTGCCTTCCCGTGGTGCTTCTCCCCACCCGTGGCCCCAGCCAGCTCTGCCTTCCTTCTTCTTCCCAAGTGCCTGCATTGTTTTCCAAGATCTACAGTATTTTTGTAACTTTTCCATTTCTCTAGTTTTGAGCCTGCAGCTTTCAAAGTTCATATATTTCCCTGCCAGCTTGTGCCCTGCCCACTAACACCCAGCTCTCGCCGGGGTCCCGTAGCCCAGTATCCCACCCCTCCTCGGCTCCGGGACCCCCGTCCCTTCCCCTTTGCACTTGCTGAGTCGTCTCTCACTATTTTGATACTTCAAGCATCCCATATTAAACACTGAAGGAAACCAGCTCCCCCCGAGCCTCCGGGGTGGGGTGGGGGATGCCAGTGTCTCCTCAGAAAGATGCATTCATCAATAAAATCTGGTTTTCCTGCATTACTGCTAGTTGGGTATGAACGAGACCCCCCAGAAGACGGGGAGAGCAGGGGGGCCACGGATGCCTGCCCTCACAGCAAAGGCAGGGGGGAGTGTACCACGGGTGCTTATACAGCATGGAAAATATTTGAGGCACGTCCAGCCCCAGGCACCCGGCAGGCTGGACCCCCGCTGCCAGCCATGTGCCGGCCTCGCAGGTGCTGCCGGGGGCCACCACCACAGGAGGGGGCCCTGGGGATTTTGTTTCTGGGGGATTTGGGCTTCAGGGAAGGCAGGGGGGTGGAGGAGGTGTGTGTAAGAAGAGCTGGGCTTTGGGCCCCATTCCTGCTGCCAGCTGAATATACCCTTGAGTAGCGTTATAGGGGTGCAGGTGGGGAACCCCCAACCCCCAGTCACTGGTGGCCCGTGGGCCTCCACTGGGGAGGCAGCAGTCTTTGGCATGATGTGGGTCTGGGAATGTGGCTGGAGCCCTCCCGGCTGCTGGCGCTGAGCTCACGCCCCGAAATAGCCCCCTGGGGCCAACCTGTGCGGGCAGCAGCTGCCCCAGCGTGTCCCCACCTGTTCCCACCCCATCACTCAGCAGAGATTTGGGGGGCCCGCACAGTGGCAGGGCAGGCAGGGATGCTGTGGGGTGCAGCGGGGACGTGGGCAGGGTGGCACATGTCCCCTGCCTCTGAGACCTGTTCCTAGCAATGTGAGCCACAGGCATCACCAGTGGCAAGGGCAGCATCCCGCAGTATCTCAGCCAGTGACCCCTGTCTCCTTGTGGGCATGTCCCTGGGGGTGTGGAGGGGCTGTTCCCAGCTGAGACACTCACCCCTGGCCAGGCTCCAGGGTGGATTTGTGGCTCTCACAGGCATCCCAGTCCTCCCAGCTGTCCCCTGACAATCTGTGCTGGCCTGACCCAGCACCAGGCTCTCACCCAGGTACTGGCTGGGCATGGAGCCCTTCTGAGCAGCCAGCAAGGACACTGAGGGGGCAAAGCGTGGCAGCAGCCCCAGCCTCATCCTGGCAGCCTGGGGTCAAGGGAGCTCCAGCACCACTGGCACAGCACTGCAAGGACATCCCCTGCCACGTCCTCCAGTTTGGGTGCAAGCGAGGGGTGGTGACACAAACACCAGGGGAGGAACACGGGGTGTGATTAACCCCCCATCCTCTAAATCCCACACATCAGTCAAGGGGTTATTTTGGTAGGCAGGTTAAGGCAAGGACGTGCAGAGGTTTGGAGCTGGGATGACACAGTCAGGAAGTGCCAGAGCCTCTGCAGGAACCCAAATCCAGCTAAGTTGAAGGTGAATGGGGAAGCCATGTCCCAACTTCTTGGGGAGCCCAGGGATGGAGTGAGAGCCTGCAGCATGGATTGCACCTGGGAAGGTCCCATTAGTTGTCAGGATAAGCCTTTCCCTGGGATTAAGGTCAGACTCTAGAGTGAAACATAGAGGTGATCACCATCCTTGGAGACCTTAGCCCAGGACAAGCCTGGGCATGGGGCAGCAATGTGAGGGACATGCACACACACCCTCTGCACCCCCTTGACCCAGAGGTTACCCCAGAGGATGGGCTTAAAGCCAGACCTGTGGGCCTCTGCACCTGGATGGTTCCAGCTGCATTGTCAGATACGACTATGACACCTGCAGCCAAGGGAAGGGGGCAGCAAGGGAAAACAGCATCCTTTAGGGGCACATCTGAGGGCTAGCCTGGCTCCAGGGCAATTTCCTGGCTGCTTGCACCATGCCCATCATTGTCTTTCCCCCATGGGCTGAGCCCACTAAGTTGCTCCAGACTGAAACATCTCACAGAAAGGCAACTATTCTCTTCCCAGGAATGATGGGAGACAGATCTTTCCCCTCCCCTTAGAAGCCACATGCTGGCAGTTACAGATTCTCCTTGTCCAAATATGTGCCTAATTTGTCAGTACTAATAGCTGCTCTCCAGAGTCCAGCAGTGGCTCTTCTGCTTTCCCCATGGAGAGAGCAGACCCTTGGTCCTTGGCTGCTCCCATCCCTCCAACCCACCCCCACCATCTGGGCCTGAGGGCTCCCAGAAAGCCACTTTCTCCAGCTCCAAAAATTTCTGCTCCTCTCTGCTTGGAGCACTGGTGCCGAAAAGTTGCGTCAGCCAAGGGCTGGCTGTGGCCCAGGGGTAATGGGCTGGGGGAGCCTGTGCACCCCTCATGTCCCCATCCCATCCCAGCCTGTCCACGTGCCACACAGCTCTCGTGGCCCCTCCACCAGCTCCTTCCAGCCCCCCCGACCCAGAGCCTACCCTGCAGCTGGCAATGTGCCAGAAGCATTTATGATCGTTATTAAAGCACAGGTTATTTTTGGAGGAGCTGGGATTTGAACGGTTTGCATTTTTTTTGCCTGTGGAATACAGTTTATTTAGAGCAGAAAGATGAAGAGGGGCAGCAAGCTGCCCACATGCCCTGTGCCACCCTGAAATGCTACCCTATAGGCTGTGTGTGTGCCAGGTGTCCCTGAGAGTGCCAGGGACAGTGGCACCAAATTGCAAGGCAGCGGGGAGGTGGGTGCTGAGAAGTCTACACAGAGCTGGGGCCCTCTTGCCCCACCAGCAGCTGGATGGGGATGTCAGGGGTTCCACTCAGTTCTCTCCTGGGGGATTTTCCCCATGTGGGCAATGCCTGTCCGCTGTGTCCCTCAGTGCAATCACAGCCCATGATTGCCCCTGAGTGCAATAACAACCTAAGTGTGTCCCCAAGACTTCAGTGCCTAATATTCCCAAGTGCCTTGCCAGCCCTTGAGGTGCCCCCAAACCAGTGCCAGCAAGCAGGGTCCCTCAGGCCCCATGTGGCAATGACTGGGCATGTGGTGTACTTGTGGCAGTGTCAGCCTTGTGATGTCCTCTAGCATGGGGACAGCTTTGACTGGAGTCAGTGCCACGGGGGTACCCCTCGCTCGGTTCCCGAGGGTGTCCCTTGCTCGGTTCCACTGGGGTTCCCGTGGCACAGCGCTACACAGTGTCCCTCAGCCAGTGTCACTGGGGTACCACTAGGGCATCGTCCCGGTGTGTGACCGCCCAGTGCCAGCGGGGTACCCACAGCACAGTGACCGGGGGTGCCCGGCGCCGGGGCCGCGGCGATGCCCTCCGGGGGTGTTGCCCCCCCGTTCCGCTCGGTGCGAGGGCCGGTGGCGAGCCTGTCCCTAAAAGGTGCTGGCGGGCGGCGGGGGAGGCGCCGGGGCCGACCCTGCCCAGCTCAGCCCCTCCCCAGCTTTTAGAGGGCGCGACGGGGCGGGGAGAGCAGTGCCGGTGCTCCCGCCGCTCCCGGTGCTCCCGCCGCTCTCGGTGCTCCGCGTCCCGCTGCCGTCCCGCGCCCCGCCGCCGACCCACCGCCACCATGGAGGCCATCAAGAAGAAGATGCAGATGCTGAAACTGGACAAGGAGAACGCCATCGACCGCGCCGAGCAAGCGGAGGCTGACAAGAAGCAAGCGGAGGACCGCTGCAAGCAGGTGGGTGTCCCACGAGCTTCTCTGGCATTGCCTCGGGACCCTTCGCTCTAGGGGTGGCCAGCCCAGGGGACCCCATTCTGCTGGGTGTCTAGCCCAGAACCCCTCTGCCCTAAGGGTGTCCAGCCCTGGAGATCCTGTCCTGATGGATGCCCAGCCCTGGGGACCCCATCCCTCTGACTGTCCAGCCTGCAGATACTCCACCCAGCCCCAGAGACTTCCCCACAACGGGTGTCCAGCCTGGAGTCCCCTGTCCTATGGATGTCCTGCCTCAAGCACCTTGCCCCACTGGGTGTCCTGCTTGTGGATCCCAGCTCTCGGGATTGCCAGCCTAAAGACCTCACTTCACTGGGACCCCATCCCAGAGGCCTCACTCCCTGTGGGCCTGTCCCCAGGGACCAGCACTTCAGTCCATTTTCCCTGAGCCCTCACACTGGTCCCCCCATACACGCCTTATCTCAGCAGGACATCCCAGTGTCACCTCTCTGTCCCTGTGCCAGGGAGAACCCTGGGGACTGCAGATTCCCACTCCAATGACATGGACATGGGGACACGCATTGGTGTCCCCCAGAGCTCTGTCCCCAAGTCAGGAGCTCCCCAACCCCCTACACAGGGAGGGAGACCACCATCCCCTTACACCCACTACGCTCAGGCGTGCTGGGGGCTGCTCTATTCCAAGAGCATCCCAAGGAGTTGTAGATCCAAAGGTGACAGAAGGAGCATGTTCATGTGCCCCCAAACCTGGGTGTCCCCAGGAGGAGGATAAGTGCCCCCAGGAGGAGGGTGGCCATCCCCTTCCAGCCTTGCAGACACCGCCGTTCACCCTGACCCTTATCCTTTATCCTTTCTCCAGCTGGAGGAAGAACAGCAGGGCCTGCAGAAGAAACTGAAGGGCACTGAGGATGAGGTGGAGAAGTATTCTGAGTCTGTCAAGGAGGCCCAGGAGAAGTTAGAGCAGGCAGAGAAGAAAGCTACAGACGTAAGTAGGCACGCCAGCAACTCCTCCCCCTGGGCGCTGGACCTCGGCGGGAGGGGGGGGGCAGCAGTTAAAGGAAGAGGGGGCCCTTATATGGAAAGCGTCCGAGGGGAAGACTGTCAGGATCCCATTCCTGCGATGCTGACACTGAACCGGGCTGATGGGTCCTGTGGGGGGTGCAGGGGCCAGGCCAGCTGTGGTGGGCAGTGCTGGAGTGGCTGATCCTGTCTGGAGCTTTATGGGCAGCCGACAGCCGGGCCCCCTAAAGCAAACGGGGACAAGTGTCCGGAGCTGTGTCACAGGCACGCACCTCCACAATGCTCTTAGGAAAACTGGGGGGCTTAACAAACAGTGGCAGAGCAAGGAAATGGAAAAATCTCTTGCTGTGCTTAGCTGCTGAGTGCTGGCTGCAAGGAAGAATGCTTGGGGTGCGTGGAAGGGGACTTTGGGTGGGATGTGGGTGCATGGATTTGGGGTCCAGGGTGCCACCTTGTACCCTGAGAAGGACAAGGCCAGGAAGAGTTTTATTTAGTGCCATGACTGATGTTTCTCCTGGGA